GGCATTCCTCGTGCGTTTTTTTTTCTGTTTTTTTGGTAATTTGGAGAATGGATGAAAATTTTTTTTATCGATTGTCCTACTACTAAGTGGTCGGCCTTGAGTGCTCTGTGTTGTGGTTGCCGGCATATATAAGGTTGGTTGCTCTATTTATTGTGGTTGTGCTGAGATTATGGGTGTGTGTTGTGGTTGTATCTGTATTAAGGTTGTGGCTGTGTTGGGTTAGGGTTGGGTGCTCTGTATTTTGTGGTCGTGGATGTGAATGTGATGAGGGGCTAGCTGGGTATTGTGTTGTTGTTGTGGCTGTGATGGGGGTTGTGTGTGTTGGGTGTGTTGAGGTTGTGGGTGTGTGTTGTGTTGGGACTGTGTTGAAGATGTGTTCAGAGTGTGTTGGGGCTGTGGATTTATGTTGGGTGTGTGTTGTTCTTGACGTTGTATTTGGACTGTTTTGAGGCTGTGGGTGTGTTGTGTTGGGGTTGTGTTGATTGTCTTACTGTGATATGGGTTGTGGTTGGCCATGATTGTTCTATGTGTTGTGGTTGTGTTGGGTTGCAGTTTGGTGCTGTGTTATGGATGTGAATGAGATGGGAGAAGGGGTTAGTTAGTTGGGTGTTATGTTGTGGTTATGGTTGTGATGGGGTTTGTGTTTTATGTGTTCATTGTGTGCTTGGCACTTCTTCTAAATCGGGGTTGAATGGTGTCCCTTGAAAACAATATAGCTCGTGACATACGTCATGGGGATTTTAAAATTAATATTATTATGTTTTTAATTGTAATTTTAATATTTTTTTAACAAACTTGATTTCACTGTTAAGTAAGGTGTGCATCTTGTTTTTGTACTGTAAGTGATTTTTTGCTTTTAAAATATCAAATACATTAATATGAGAGTTTTGTTATAAATAACATTACTGCATAATGGTAGAATGATCATTTATCCAGAAATAATTTTGCAATAATTTTGCCATAATGATACAATAATCATTAACAGTCTACCAGATGCTTATCAACAGCTTATTAAGACCCCATTTTAGACAGCTTATTTGGTGCGACATATTTTTAAAATGAACTCAGGATCGTTAGGGTAAACTGTGTTTTGATTTTCTTCAAAAATCTACAATTTCAAACAATTGAAATCAACATTTTCACATCATTAGCAGCTTTCTAGCTGTGATCTAGTTTTTCTTAAAAAAAAAAATAAAAAAAAAAAAAATTATAATAGTCATTGCAATTTTTTGAACAACATATTATTTTTCAACTTCTCATCAACTTACAAATAAAATGTCGCTGCCCCAAACAGACTTTAAATAAGTTGTTGCTGCCCCAAATAGACTTTATAAGCTATTGCTGCCCCCAAACAGTCCCAAGGGCCCGTTTTGGGCAGCTTATAAGTGCGGACGGCATTTTCAAAATTCCGTAAAAAACATGTTTTGACATCTTATCTGAAAACGCGGTTGGGTTTTTACACTAAACACAGGTCACAGATTGAATCCAGCGGGCGACCAGCAGAACGTGTTTCAGAATTAGATGCTCATAAGCTGCCGAAAATGCACCTTAAATCTTATAACTCAAAAACTATTGTGAGGCTCCTTAAACATAATAAAAAATAAGAAAGAGCATGAAGGTTTTGGTTTTTTTTTTTCTTAGGAAGAAAGGTGATCCCTTTTGTCAATTATGTTAGAAAATAATAATTATAATATATTTATAATCAAAATCTCGAAGGGAAATTGCCCAGCAAGAAAAATTTAAATCAATGGAATCTACACAAATTTTGAGCTAGATATTATTTTTTTTATCGAAATCCATTCTTTTTAGAGCCATTTACGTGCCAAACAATTTTATATATCAAACAAGTAAATATTATTGATGTGCCACAAACAAATTTTCATGCATGACATTGATCTCGATGCAGTTTTTGCACTATATAATATTCAATTTTTGATGAAATTTTTGATGAAAATTCAACCAAAAGTATGATCAACCCATCGGGATGGACACAACAATGCTAAGATCATTTGTTCCAAGTTAAATCAAGCCAAAAAAAAACAACTTTTAGAGGCTTCCCAGGTACAACTGAAGATCAAATAAATGTTATTTGACATGTTTACAGTCAAATCAAATGTCTCGACAAGACAAATCCAACAAGCCTAAGAACACTCAAGTGTGTCATCATTAATACAATTAAACATCATTCAATCAAGGGGATCTTTCTCAACCGTCTGATCAAGAATATTTTGGATTCATGCCTTATTCACAATTTCAGATCTATAAATTGAACCACAAGCACCGCACGAGGGAGTGTAGTGACTAAGAGCGAGAGCATGGTCTTCAACCAAGTTGCATGATTCCAATAAAACACAATTAAAGGTTATGCTATTGGAAAAAAATATATATTATATGGATTGAAACTTTCTCCAATAGCTTGGTTCCAAAGACTCAACAAATCGATGCATTTTTTTTGCTATTATCAGTCCAATTTGTTGTTCAAGAACCACTAGTAAATGATCATTTCACTCATTGCATATTATGAATACAAGTTATTCATGGTCTAAACAAGAAGGGCTTGCTTTCTTCTCTTATGCCAAACTCCAACTTCAACCTCTTCTACATTCTCTGCTCAAAGGACAAAGTGGCCTTCTATAATGATGAAATAATGGAAAGTTCTAAGAAAAAGAGCTAGCCTTTGTTGGGATATGCCCTCTACAAGAGACCCTCATACCATAGATTATCACAAGTAACTAATAAACTTTGTCAAGTCAAAAATTTGTTCTTGTTGATCTCATCTCTCATTGAAGGCATTTTTCACATTAACACAAACAAATATATGTGGAATCATGTTTGATAATTATTCCTAATGCAAATTATCCACATTTATTATTCCAAATAATTTAGCATTATTCACATTAGGAAATAGATTGAACATGATTTCTTGACTCTTTACATATCAATATATTTCCTAATGAGAGCAACAAAAAAAAATTTCTTTCCTATGCAAGAGCCACATATTTTGGCTCAAATAAAATGTAGCGCTTTACAGTAGAGAATTTCCTCTTCAACCATCAAATTCCATATTATTTTTGTTTATGCTGAAAATTGTGAAGCAAAGAGAGCTATGGAATTCAATCATTTCCCTGGTTTATTATGGGGGACACAACCTGAAATCAACGCAATTACTGTCCCTCCTTTGCTCTACCATATCAAGTGTTCTTCTTGGATTCTGGGTCCAACAACAATGTGCTATTGCTTGGCTAACTTCTATTATTGATAGCAAATAATGGAGCCATACCTTATCAAGAATGAAACTTACTATGCCCTATTTTAAGGATCTCATTCTAATTGTGTTGTTTTGAATGCATTTTCTTCCATTTTTGTCAATAGACCGTATAGTTCCTTCTACAGTTCCTTTCTCTCTTCAGATTACAGCCAACATACATTGATGAATTGGCTAAGCATATCCCATAAAATTTCTCTCAAAAAACAATTTTTATGTTTTGATCCACCAGTTAAGTGGGTGAACAGATGTTAGAAGGTCTAATTTATAAGGACTAATTCATTAATATCTAATAGTTCTAAGCTCAAACAAGAAAAAAAATTGCATTTTGTGTCCTTCAAAATTTGAAACTTGCGAAAGATACAAAATAAGTGTGAATTTGAAAACATATACCACAACCAACTTTCTCCATTGAGCTAGCCTAACACTCATTTAATGCACTGCAATTCAATACAGAAAGTGTTGGAAGCCAAATAAAATTCCACATAAATGATTCACATCCAGAGGATGCCATAAAAGGTCACAGAAAGATACGTAAACATACCCCCAAAGAAACCCCTACTAGCTATATAATCAACCGCAAATAAAATAGCCATATAAAACAAACCCTAGCTACCTAACCGCCGAACCCATAAAGGGTGCGGCCCTGACGCTTGAGAGCGTAAACCACGTCCATAGCAGTGACGGTCTTCCGGCGAGCGTGCTCGGTGTAGGTAACAGCGTCACGGATAACATTCTCAAGAAATATCTTGAGCACTCCTCGGGTCTCCTCGTAGATCAAGCCACTGATCCGCTTAACTCCTCCCCGCCGAGCAAGTCGCCGGATCGCCGGCTTCGTGATGCCTTGGATGTTGTCTCGGAGGACTTTGCGGTGGCGCTTCGCCCCACCCTTTCCAAGGCCCTTGCCTCCCTTCCCTCTTCCAGACATTTCTCTCCTCTTTTCTTCTGAATTGAGCTAAAATCTCTTGAGGCTACGGAACACGGATTAATCGTTTGGCGGAAATTGGCTGTTTTTATAGAATACCTACTTCTGTGCACACCGTCGGATGGATTAACGATCCGGTATCAAGTTTGCAATTCATGGACCGCCGTTGGATCAAAATTTCTTGAAGCTGATTGGCTGGAGGATGTGAAAGTGTGGAGTGCTTGAGAAATAAATACTTGGATTTTTTTCTTTTTCGGAATAATTCATAAGTTTAAGACTTTATTAGAAAAATAGGAAGATTTACATTTCTACATACCACTTAATTCATATGTAATTACAAATCTGTCATGAAAATTTGTAATTGATTTTCTTAAAGTTAAAATGATGATATTTTTTATGGATGTCATTCAATTTTTTTAGTTAAAATGAAACCAAAAATAAAAAATTAAATATTAAAATTTTTAAAACAAAAAATTGTATTGTCATTTCAAAATTGAATCAACCAATCGAATTGGATTTAGTTTTGACCAAATGATGCATAATCTAAAATATAGATGTGTCTTCTAAATTATACATGTTCCATAAAATCATATTTTATTTAAAAAATAATTTATTAAAATCATAAATTTAATCATATCTGACTTGATTATCGTATATAAAATAATTTAACAATATTGAGTTGAGGGAGATTCAAATTGATTATCGAATAGGAAAAAAATTTAACAACATTGCACGCAAGGAGATTCATAACAATTAAACAAATAATTATTCAAAACAATTAATCAAAATAATTTAACTTCTTAATTTATACAAGGGACTTTCACATATGTAGCAGAATCTGTTGCCAAGAAAACCGCAGGACAACAAAATGAAAAAAGGAAAATCGCAAAAAAAATGCAAATAAGAACACCGAGAACTTACGCGGTTCGGTTCATGAGACCTACATCCATAGGAGGGAATCAAAAAACATTTCACTAACACAATCTTTAATATTACACCACACAATTTCAAGAACGAACCAAACTCCTCTTGCTCTCTATCGATCTTGATCTCGTTACAAGTTTTCTAGGTTCCTCACCTTACTCAGAATTTTTCTCACCCCTTAACCATCTCAACTCATATACATCATTACATATATATATATATATAGACAATAACTCGTACAAGATAATTGGTTAAACACTTGACATAGCCAAATGACTGTTGTACCCATTAGCTATAGAAAATCTTTTTATAAACTGCAGCGTTGTCTTAGTTTACATAATTGAGAGTCATCAAAACAGTTCTCCACCTTGACAACGAATCTCCATAAAAGAGATTCCCTCCACATTGCCAGGGCATTTAATCCTTGGTTTTGTTCACTAAGTCAAGACAGTACCTAAACTTAGCTGCAGATAGAACCTTTGTGAGCATGTCAGTTTGAAATTGAACAATATTAGAGAAGTTATTAATCACAGTTCTTCCGATTAGTGAATATAGACCACTATTTCTAACTCCTTATATGACAAATAAAAAGTCTTTAGTTACTTTAATACAACCATTTTCAGCCTTAAAAAAATATCCACTTGATTCCAACATACCCAAAGATATCACATTCTTTTTCAGTTCTGGTATGTACCTGATATTTTGCAGTATTCGTTCAGCTCCATCAAACATTCTTATCAAGATTGTCCCACTACTAACAACCATGTGAGCTTTGTTGGCTCCAAGAAGTATTGATCCACCGTAAACTAGTAAGAGTGTCTCAAACCAACTTTATGAAGACACATATGGAAGGAGAAACCAGAATCGATAGTCCACTCTTTGCTTGATTCAAACTTAGTAATTACTAAAGCATCGGCTGAATCGTAGTTATCAAAGTCTACACTTGTTTCTCATGATTCTTTTGGCTTTTCTTGGAGTTTTTTCTTCCTGTCGGGACAAATCTTCTTGAAGTGACATTTGTTGTGGCAATGGTAACATTTGAAAGGTCCTTTGATAACTGATTTTCACTCTTCTTTCCTTATCTCAATCTTGATCTATTCTGATCGTTTCTTGAATCCTTCTTGTCCGATCTTCCTCTAACGATCAAACCATCTCTACTGGTTTTCTTGTTCATGTCATGTTTGCTTTGAAGTTTTTTGGCTCTAATTAGCGATTGAATCCCTTTTAGTGAAATTGTTTGCATCATTCTAAAGAGCATTGCATCTTTGAAGTGCTCATAACTCTTCGGAATGGAGTTTAATAATAGCAGTGTTTTGTCCTCGCCATCCATCTTTACGTCGATATTTTTAAGATCATCTATGATCTTGTTAAGCACATTAATCTCCTTTGAGATAGATTTATCTTCGTGCATCTTGAAAGAATACAGGCATTGCTTCACGAAGAGTCAATTAGCCAAGGATTTCGTCATATAGAGCAGTTTGAGTTTAGTTGAGAGCAATTGAGTTGTTCTCTCTCGACACTTTCCTTAGAACTTTGTCACCCAAGTTTAAGATTAATACACTATATGCTCTATCTAGGATGTTGTTCTTTCCTCTCTCGAGCATCTCGCCCCGCAATGCTGCAGGCCCCTACAACACTTCCACGACTCCTTGTTGCACCAACAGGGCCCTCATATTGACTCTCCACAAGTCGAAATCATTCTTTCTGGTGAATTTCTCAAAATCAAACTTAGCAGATCCCATTATCATGGCTAAAATTCCCACAGACGACCTCAATTGTAGCAGAATCTGCTGCCAAGAGTACCGCAGGACAACAAAATGGGAAAAGGAAAACTGCAAAGAATATGCAAACAAGAACATCAAGAAATTACATGGTTCGGTCCATAAGACCTACATCCATGAGAGAGAATCAGGAAACAGTTCCATAAGACCTACATCCTCTTGTTCTCTCTCAATCTTGATCTTGATACAAGCTTTTTGAGTTCCTCTCATTTCTCTCAGAATTGTTCTCACCTTTTAACCCCTCTCAACTCATATACATCATTTCATATATATAGACATTAACTCACACAAAATGACTAGTTAAATATTTATCATAACCAAACGACCATTGTACATATTAGCTATAGAAAACCTCCTTATAAATTGCGACGTCGTCTTAGTTCATGTAATTGACAGTCATCATAATAACATACGAGTTAACAAGGTTTATATGGGTGGTTGAATAAAATGATTTAATAAATATTTATTTTATTTTAATAATTATTAAATAAAATATTAATATATTTGATGTGTGCTAGAGCATTTGCGACAGTGGACTAACATATTATTATATTAGTGTGGTACGAAGATTCAACACACACTCAGAAAAATGAATGACACATACTCATAACAAAGAATAACACATAGAAGAAAGATGATAACTAATAGTAATACCCGAAGTTTTTACGTGGAAAATCTGGAAAGATAAAAACCATAATGTCTGGCCCAGCCAAAAAGTTCCACTTTAAAAAGATAATTATAGTTGCAACAACTTCTCCACAAACGAGAAATTGTTACTTTGTATCGCAAGTTACAACGTCGACATGCTAATAATTTTTTTAGTAACAGGGACAAATGACGACATCACGTCGATGGTGGTCGGCGTGATCGACGATGTTTATTGGTGGTTGATGAAAATTGACGGTGATCGACGACGGTCAATGGTGGTCTACGGAGGTCGGTAGTGATTGACGGTAGTTGAAAGTGGTGGTGTTGAATTTCAGCTCCTTGAATCATCATGCTCTTCTTTAAATCTAAAACTCTGCTCCCCCTCATAAGAGGGATGAGACTGCATTTATAATCATCTAAGTGTAATTAATGCACAAATATAAGTCACTTTGATCAGATGATCCTGAAAGCTTCCTCGATTAGACGGCGTTTAATAGACATTTGAGTGTCTTAACAATATCAGATTTAAAAAATGGGCGTGCACGAACATTCTACATAAATAAATACATACATATACACACAAACATACTACGTATAAAAATACATTTAAAGACAAACAACACAAACATACATGCAGCATGAACCTACATACACACATACGTACAGACAGACATACATACACACATGCACTCACATACACACAAACACAGACACAAGACACACACGTACAAAGATACACATACACAGACATAGACACAGACACACGAACAGACATACACATGCATACACATACATACACACAGACACATGCAGACCTACACAAAAAAAAAATAGAAACACATGCATACTGACACACACACACACTCACATACAAAAAAAATATCTAAATACTAAACCAAATTGAAAGAGATTACATAAGAACAGCTAATCCTTATGTGATAATGATGGAAAATGCCAGTGTTGATGAGAAATGGGAACAAATGAGAAGTTATATCTAATGATTAGAGGAATCTCTCACTCTCACTTCGTTGCTCTTTGTTCTTCTCTCTCTACACCGAGATGCACCGAAGAAACTCTATGCTGAGATACATCGAAGAAGATAAATTTACAAGAAAAATAAACTCAATTTTGCTTCTGTCACAAGCCACCACGAAGAGGCCTAGAGACAACAATATTCTTCTTCTTCTTTCTACTGCAAGGAAGTACTTCTTGCACTTTCCTTCCTTTATCCCAAGTAAACCTTCCTTTATCCCGAGGAAACCAAAGAACTCAAACTGTGACTTCTAAATCTAAGTAGAGTCATCCGAAGCTTTTATCACGAACATGAAATAACGAAGAGATACTTCGCTTCACAACAAAGGAAGGCGAAAGAGATTGGCTCCTATGGTTCGCAAATCGACGTCAGGAGGGAACGGTCGCTCCTATGGTTCGCGAATCGACGTCAGGAGGGAACGGTCGCGACTGTTTCGCGATCGATGTGGGAGTGTCGTGTTGGAGATCCCGATGTTTCGCACTCGGGTGAGCGGAAGCAGTGGTTAGATCGGGCTCCACTTCTAACAATTCTCCTATTTTGAAACCGGTACACAAACTACAACATCTCACTACTCAAACTAATTTTCTCCACCATGAATCCTCCACTGTGAATCCTCCACCTTGAATCATCCACCTCTGCAGCCTAAACCTTCCGTCTTCACTCCAGAAGAGAACATGAAGTTGTGCACAACTTCAATTTCTGAAGAGTAACTCCCTCAGTTAACATATCAACAGACTCCACATAACTTTGCACCTCCAAGTTATTTCCTGGATCACTCTTGTATCTTCTTACAACTCCCACTGCATGGGCAATATTCTGCATCTGCTTAAAGCCTTTTTCAACAAGTATAGTCTTATATCTCTTACTGTCATCAATTTCAATCTTCACCTGGTACACCAACACAATTCTGTAATGTCTTCTTTCCTGGTAAAAATTTTGACAACTCCAACTTGCTTGAACTTTCATTTTGTAAGATTTTTTCATAACTCTTTGGTTCTTAAACATTTGTCTATGGAACAGTAAGAATGGGTGCCCCATACCCACTTTTCTTTTCACTTCCATCACTACCCAGCACTGTGGCCTCTGGTAGATTTCCTATCACATTTAAAGCCCCTAAATCCAATATCAAGTTTTCAACATAACTATAAACTGTCAACAATAATGTATCCTGTGATTTTTCAAATACCACATTTGTGCTATCATTCTCCATTTTTTTAGGATTCTTACAGTTCCTCCTTATGTGGTCGATCTTGCCACAATTGAAACAGGTTGTCTGCTGACCAAAAATTTGATTTTGATCTCTCTTTATTTGAGTTCTTGTCATATCATCTCCCTCTGAAATCAACATTCAGTGTCGAACTCGTATCTTAGATCTCGCCATAATCTTTCCTGCGAACCTACTCAGCAAAAATCAAATCATGCATATTATTGCATTTCAGTTTAGATTTACCTGCAGAACAACTTACTGTCATCATCATGGCTTCCCAACTAAATTTCTCTTCTACTACAAGCTATCACAAAGAAGATTAGGGATGCTTCTGTTGCAGAATCTTTCTTCCTTCTTTCTTCAGTTGCAAAGAAGAACTTGTACTTTCCTTCGTTTATTCCGAAGAAACCGAAAAACTAAAACCGTGACTTCTAAACTCAAGGAGAGTCATCTGAAAATTTTATCACAAACAATAAGAAACAAAGGGATGCTTCCCTTCGCAACAGAGGAATGTGGGAGCGATTAGCGCCTATGATTCGCAAATCAACACCAGGCGAGAACGATCGCAATCGAAGGGAGATCACGATGTTTTGCGATCGGGTGAGCGGCGCCAAGGGTTGGACCGGGCTCCATTTCTAACAAGCTGGATTGTACACAAATAACATATGCATAGCTTTGAAAAAACTATTAAGATAATAACAAAGCTAGACCTATCTATTTAGTTGAACTAACAAAGGAGAAAATGGCATACCCAAAATAGTCCTAAGGTTTTAGTTTCTAAATGGACTTAAAAAGCGAAACAAATGGGCCGCTAAGAAGACAACTTGATTGCAAATGTGCAAAAATAAAAAGCGGAGCAATTTCATTCACATGCCATATGTCACCTCCCAAAAGAGCCCTTATGGGTGGTGGGCAGCCCAGGACTTAAATACTGCTTTTCGGCCCTACACCTAGCCAATGTGGGACTATTTGTCCGTGACATTCTCCTCCACCCAATCACGTGACGCCCTCGTCACGGATCGGCTCCACCGAGGGTCCCACTGGACCATGGAGTCCACACACTTGATACCACTTGTCACCTCCCAAAAGAGCCCTTATGGGTGGTGGGCAGCCCAGGACTTAAATACTGCTTTTCGGCTCTACACCTAGCCAATGTGGGACTATTTGTCCGTGACATTCTCCTCCACCCAATCACGTGACGCCCTCGTCACGGATCGGCTCCACCGAGGGTCCCACTGGACCATGGAGAGTCCACACACTTGGCAGACAATAATTTGCTCTGATACCACTTGTCACCTCCCAAAAGAGCCCTTGTGGGTGGTGGGCAGCCCAGGACTTAAATACTGCTTTTCGGCCCTACACCTAGCCAATGTGGGACTATTTGTCCGTGACACATAGGTGCCATAGGTCAAGGTTTAAGTAATGAAAAGATGATTTTATCTGGATTAGTTTGCAAAGTATATTAGGTTAATGAGTCGGTGTAAAGCTGAAGAAAATGAGATGATAGTCTAGAGCAAGATTTATGAAGATTAATCGATTAGCTAACATTCTCTTTCTACCATTTAATCATATATTAAGCTTGTGTTGTGGATCTAAATAAACAATCCCTCCATAATTTTTGAAAAAAATTGAATTCATCCTCCCATATGCAAGGGAACAACTAAAATCTTCAAACACTTGGGGCTGTCTGGCAACGAATTTAGAGCAGTATTTAACCTCAATGTAGGATAAACCTTGCAAGACAATCATTTTGGACAAAATAAAGCTGTGGATTTATTGAATTCAACCATAAAACCGGAATTTACTAAATCCTACAAAACGGTGGATTTACTGGATTTATGCAATTTTTACGAAGAACTTCTCAGTTTGTTCTACGTACATTTCAAACAGCTTTCCTGGATTTATAAGATTTAATAAATCAATTAGAACCAAAAACTGAGACAAATTGAAGCTCCATAAGAACAAAAAAGCCAATCCCTACAAGTAATATCAATTACACAACAGAACATTACGAGATACAGAAATTCAAACCGGAACCAAAACAAACCAACCCAGCTACTACCCACAACGAAGCCTTAAATACAGAAACTAACCACTTAACCACCAAAGCCATAAAGAGTACGGCCTTGGCGCTTAAGCGCGTACACAACGTCCATAGCAGTAACAGTCTTGCGACGAGCATGCTCGGTATAGGTAACAGCATCACGGATTACATTCTCAAGAAAGATCTTGAGAACTCCCCTGGTCTCCTCGTAGATCAAACCGCTGATACGCTTAACCCCACCGCGCCGAGCAAGTCGCCGGATCGCCGGCTTCGTGATTCCTTGGATGTTGTCGCGCAGAACTTTGCGATGGCGCTTCGCCCCACCTTTTCCCAAACCTTTGCCTCCTTTCCCTCTTCCCGACATTTTTCTCTTCTACGCTGATCGAGTAAAATCTCCTGTGTTTGGGGACGATGATCTGCTCGCATCTGCTGTCCAGTGAAGATTTTGTAGTGTAAATGACACAGCATTGACCGTCGGATGGAGCGCCAATCCGCAATCGGTATCTGTTTTTAATAACCACCGTCAGATTAACAATACGAGCATATGATTGGTTAAAGAATGATTAAGCGGACTGCGGATGCTCCGTGGGGGCATGAATCCGAGGCTGGGCTAGGCTTATTGGACTAATTTTTTGTTGGGCCTTGGGTCAGAAATAAACGAGCAAAATTCTTATAAGCCGCAAGGATCAACATATAATGCTAATTTTTTATTGATTTTATGAGTACAGAGATGGTTTAAAAAATAAATTTTCCTATAAAAAATATTTTTTAGTTTTTTTTTAATTGCAAGTTCTCTAAATACCATGGTTTCGGGTGGTAGTTCTGTAAATACCAATGTTTCGGGTGCTATGTGTGTAAGCTGTAAACAGCCCATTATAAAAATTTGTAAACTCAAACAATTCATTTAAAATATCAAGTGTCATTGCTTACTAATATTGAAATTAAGGCATCTTAAATTCGTTGGATTCATCTTATTAAGACGATCGATTTGACTGCAAGCTTGTATGATTTGAAGATCATGTGGTCCTCCAAAATAAGTCCAAATTATCTTATTATGCTTTAAGTGCATAATGTAAGCTCACTTGGTTTCAAATCGGATTACATTTGCTGTCTTTTGTTTCATCTTGTTGACTTTTTGTTACACTATAAATTTGAGTGTATGTAATTCCTAGTTTGATTTTTGAAGTTTCTTGTCCCATGGTGCATATAGATTCGTGCAACATCAAGTGAATTTTTTGAGGACGTATCAAGTACACGAATTAATCTCATTGTATTTATAATCACATTTGAAATATTAGTAACTAAATTCGTCCTAAAGTTTTTTTATTGATGGATTGAAAAAAAAAGAAAATTACGATCAATTTGCATAAAATTTTTCTTTTTTTTTATGATAATTTATTTAGCATAAAATGTTGGCAAATTTCATCTACACATAAACCGTCATTTGATAAATTAATATTTAAAGGAGTCGACAAATTAAATAATGATTATATGAGGCAGATATTTGTGAATTAAACAGCCCCTAAAATTTCAGATACATTGTGGAAATAATAATATGTTTAATTAATATATTATTATTGTTAGATTGTCATTTTGCGTAAATTCGTAATACCTTTTACTTATCAATTTTCAATTATTTGGTAGGGAATTAAATTAACAGTGACCTAGAAACTTTCAGTAGCTCCCTCGTAGGGGTGTAATTGAGTCGAATTTGAGCGAACTCAGTGTTTGTTCGTGTTCGGCTCTTTTCATTTTTTTTTTGGTTTGAAATTGGTATATTTGGTTTAAAATTAGCTCAAATAATTTAGAATTAATAAAAATTAATATATATTTTCAATACATCATACAAAATTAATAGAAAAATAAAAATGTCATTTAAATATTTAATTATTCACGCTAAAATGAGCCGCACACAATTAAACAAACATTTGTCAGTATTCGGTTCGCTTGCTTGACGGACGAATCACAAACAAGCAATTTAACAAAACAAACACCGGTTGTTAGTGAGTGACTTCAGTTTTGTCCCTCCTGAAATATCACTTTAAACTTTGTTGCATTAACCCTCCTACGTTTGGTGTATGGGCTCAGTTTGCCCCCCTCAAAAAGAGGCTCGTTTCGCCCTCATCATAAAATCAAAAAAAATATTACATCCGGATTAAGTGTGTATGGTATGATCTGAGGTGTTATTGGTAGTATTGTGGTGTTATTTTTGGTAAAAATAACACCACAATACTACCAATACACATAAATATTGTCATCCGCACATGAAACTACATCATGACTCCTTGTGCAATTTTTTCTCAACAAAATCAGGGGTGGACCTAGGTAATTGCCCCTCCCTCTAGAAATATTATTTTGCTCTTCGTTGTCATAGCTTCTCACACATTGGGTCTAAGGGGCCAATTTACCACCCCCTCAAAGAAAAAACTAAGGCTGCGTTTCGGACAGCTTATTTAGAACGGTGGCGTTTTGAAAAACCCCCGCCGTCTGTTTGGAAATTCCAGTCTGATTGCGTTTGGGGAAACTCAGTTTTTAACTTTCTATTATACGCGGATCGCGGGGTCCTCTCCGCAATCCACATTTAATGTTGTCGAAAGACAACACTTGCCCCTCCTCCCGTCTCCTCTGCCCTAATCTTGCGTCCCTCCTCTGCCCTAAGGCTCGATCCCGTGCGTAGCGCTCCTCGGCAATCCTCCGTCTCCACCGTCTGGTGTTAGCTTTGCGCTCCTCCATATTCAGGTCGCTCCTCCTTCGTTCACCGAACTCCTCTGTCTTCGGTTCGAAGAAATCCTCCCTCTTCTCTTCTCATTCTCACTGGTAAACTCATTTTTTATCTCCTTCATCTTCTATTTAGGGCTCCGATTTGTCTATTCCCGTGAAAATGCCGCTGGGAACTCATATTTGTTGTATGCCAATTTAAGAGAAAAACGTAGTATCAATTAGTTGATTTTGAAATTGATCCCAGATGGACCCTAAAGCTTTTACTTTGCTTCCTACCTACTGTTACCCATCTTTGTAAACCTTTCTTCTACATACATTGATCTTTGAAACTTCTAATCCTTTCGTATTTACACTATTTAATTAGTTGATTTTTCTTTCATATTCCTTTCCAAATATAACATTCTATATGGCCTGCTGTTGTTTAGAAGAGCAAAAATTTTGGCTTGAAAGTGCTCCAGTAATTTAAGTAAAACTTGAATTAAAATCATGGGGCATTTATATACATTGCACACAATTCTTATGCATTTAAATATCTAACATCTGAACTTTCCTTTCTACACATATAACACTCAAATCTTTAATTGAAATGTTGATGGTTTTTTTTGCCCTGCAGTTACGACAGTGGATCAACTCTTTTTTTGGCCGAAAATTTTGCAATATTTTTGTTAATGGTTGGCAATCGAAGCGTAATCCAAGTAGAATTTCATGATTGTTTCTTTTTTGTTGGGTCTCATTATAGTATGTACTAGTGCGT